GAGTGTGTGCACACGTGTGACAGAGCTACACTGGGGAACGAGGACTCACACAGTCCAGTTGGAGAAAGCATGCTTGCACACACAGGCACGCCCCTTCTCATTCACTCATATCCCCCCGCGTTTATATGAGCAAATGTGAAAATGTCACTCTGAGTGTTAGACCCCCATGGAGCATTAGGGGTAGAGATGGAGCAAAATGGAGAGAGATGTGAAGATGCTTTACGGAATCCACGAAGAGCAGGTGCTGGCACTGTGCTGGTTGTGGCGCCACCCGGGGCATCTCAAGGAAAACTGGGGGCATAGAACACCTTTTGTAACTCACTGGTTTTCTCGCCGGGACTGGAATCTTATGGCCTGGTCATAAGACTTTCTGGAGACAGCCCTAAACTAATGATGGCAGAATGGGGCAGGGTGGGACAAATGACCCAGGGCAGGGTCCTCAACCACACTTTGGGGGACTAACGATGACACAAAAGAAATAAGAAAGCTCAGAAATCCATTCTTCTCTGTCAGCTTACCCCAAACTCGAGGAAGCAGAGGCACATTGGATAAGCAGGACATGGGGTCTGGGGAAGACAATGAGGGTTCCTACGCTGAGGTAGTCAGTGAAAATGAGAGACGAGGGGAGGGGAGGGAGAGGGAGAGAGAGGGAGAGACAGACAGACAGACACACTGGCCATAAAAGACACTGTATCAGAGTAATGGTTGGCATCTGCAGCCTCCCTCCACCCACCTCTGTGCCGACTGCTCTGACAGTGCAGTAGATGCGGGCTGGGTCAGGGAGCCACGTTATTCTGTACGCAACCCAGTTATCGGATACGGTCACAGAAATGCTAGCCTTAGAAATGGTCTGGACCAGGGGTTGGCAAACTATGACAAGCAGGCCAAATCCAGCCTGCGGCTTTGTATGGCCCAAGACCTAAGAATGGTATTGATATTTTTAAGGTGTATAAACAACCTTTTAAAGGTCAAACAAACAACAACAAAGAAATAGAATTTGCTACTGAGGCCCTCCGTGGTCTACAAAACTTAAAATTGTTGCTATGCGGCTCTTTGCAGAAAAAGTCAACCCTTGGTCTCGAAGACAGGGAAAATCCTACCAATCTCTGAGCCATTCCTGAAAAGGGGAACCGGAAGAGGTCCAGGAGAAACAAGGGGACAATGGAAATGACTGGAAATACCACTCCATAGGACTAACACAGCCCTATAGATGCAGTGCCCGCAACTCCACAGAATAGTGAGGTATGCATGAACCATGGAAGGGAACCCCAGAATAGCTAAAGAGAGGGTCACGCTAAAGAGCATCACGCAAAGCATGTTGTGGAAAACAGACTGTCTGCAGAGCTCAGTACTGCTTAGGAAATCCTATTATTGTTTCATTAGATGGAGATAGAGTTTGAGCCCAGGGATTGACAAAGTATCAAGCTAGGTGAAGTTTCTAGAACACAAGTAAATATCTCATTAGCATCGAATAGTCTGAAAATACAAACTTTAAGAAGGGAAGGATAAAGTAGATTCTAGGATTCTAGGAAAGCCTTCATTGGCTTGCCCTACTTTAAATAAACAGCAATTTTAAAAGTTCACACTAAAAAAAAAAAAAAAGAGGCTTTGGGGACATTGACAAGAGGGTTCTTCATTTTTCAAAAGAAATCACCAGGAGAGTCCCCTACATAGGAAGGTCCTCTACTAGCAAAATGGAATTTGATCCCCCAAATTTCATTTTTCAAACAACTTTAAAGGAAAACACCCATTGTACGAACTAGAGCACATATCGAGTTTGGAGGGCAATGAATGTTTCTAGACTGAAAATCACATATGTCTTTGGATTCATGAACTAATGAATTCTTCGGCATTTTTCCTTAAAGCATCAATATTAGTTTACTGAAATACCTGGGAAATTCATGTGTCGTAAAAGTAGAAGACAGCTGTGGGGCTTCCATAAATGTCGTAAATGTCGTGTAAGTTACTTGACCTTTCAGGGCCTCAGGGCCCCATCTGTAAAGCGAGAAGTTGGTCCCTTTCAACTCTAACATTCCGTGACTACAGATAAATATAGAAATAAGATAAATATAACAATCTAGAAATAAGAAATATTTCCCCAAAGTAAGCTTCGGAGGCAGTAGAAAAAAGTAGCAATGAAATATAATAAAAAGAATAAAACTTTAACTACTAGCCAGAGTAAATATATCTCATTTAAAAATTAATGAAAAGATTTGCAATTTACAATTGATCAGGAGAGGTAAGAAGAACATACACATTGATATTTCTTCACCATCATACATACGGAGGAGGAAATGTGTCTGGGTGCCTTATACAGTGAGCACGATGCTGTGTTTGCATGCATGACATTTTATAAAATTAGATGTCAAAAACTCAACACCACGTAAGAAATAAATTTCTATAAAGCTTGGCATTAAAGAGAGGCTGAGAGGGGTTAACTGGTTGTTCCAGTTCATATTTCGTTTGTGGATTCGTTGATATCAAAATCCAGTACTTAGGCAAAATCTTAAAATCAAATACATTTCTGCCAGAGCCCTTCTAGAGAACAGCCACCATGGTAAAGACAGGTATTTAACGGTTGACCACACTGAACAAACATAACACCTTTTCCTTTTTCCTGTTTGTGATTTTTAAAGAAATTTTTAACCAGAAACAGGCCAGATGTGCTGGGTAAGTGAAGTCAAATATTTTGCAGGTTGAGCTAGTTGATTCAATCTGATAATTTCTTAACACCAAACAATATATACCTGACCTGACCGACATGACAATATATATCACTTAGCCAGAGGCTGATCACTGTAATGATAGCAGAAATGACAGGAGAGGTGGGAATCGTTTGGAGAGCCGTGGCTATAGTGATTCAGGGGCTTCAAGAAGTAACGTCGCTGGAATAGACACACACACACAGACACACACACTTTGAGAACCAGTGGCTTAGATTTGGAGCTTTACCGAACAAAAGCATATACTTATTTCACATAACCCCTTGCTTACGCAAATTCCTTTTTGCTAAAGATATTAAAAGTCTCTTCAATGTGTATCTATAACCACTGACTCCTGTATTCCTCTATAAATCTGTTTCAGAGTATTCTAAAACTTCTATTTCATGTCACTGTTGAAATCATTTTCGCTGCCCTTTGACAAAGGCAGCTCTTTGCACCTCCTTCTCAGTCTCTTGTCCTTTTACATCCCTAATATCTTAGTCACTTATGGCAGAAACACACGCAAAGGCTTTGGAGGGACTGGGTGGTGTTGAATTATCACCACGAACACCGGACGACTGACGCTGAGCGGACGATACTGGACACTTTCACCTTTCACAAGCGGGACACATTTTCACGAACTCTTTAAATCCTTGTGTTTTTACTCAGATGATGAATAGTATCGATTCCATTTGCATAAAAATGTTAATGTACAACATGAACGATCTAGGCTTTTTAGTGGCTTTTAGTAGCCTTATGAAACAGCACTGGGTGTGAGGACAATTCAATTGACCGTCAGAAATTTGCTAACATGGTTCCAGGAGATTATGGTATTTTCTATATTTTTTGATACTTCTGCAACTAATTCGATGCCCAAAATTCTACAAGTAGAATTTCATTCTTTTGGCTTAAGGCTTTTCCCCTGTTCGATGCAAAGGACCCTCAAAAGAGGCAGCATTAAGCCTTATAACCTCAAAGTAAAGGAGTTGATCCTGAGAGCACGCTTTTCTTAGCTAGGAAGAGAACACACCAGGAGGCACTCAGGAGAGTTGGTGCTGGGAAGTAAGGTCGGGGGGCATAGAACAGAATAGACCGAGCATTCCAAGGACAACCCTCCAGCTCATTCACCGTTTTGCCGATAGGGTTATTCCCGTCAGCATCCCTTACTGAAATCCATGCGTGCTAAGTCGCCATGTGGAGCAGGTTATCTAGATAGCAACCAGGTTCTCCGATCATGTCGAAGATTCTTTGATATATAGGCATACAAAGATTTATAGTGGCGGAAAAGTAGATGGCAATAAAACATTTGGTGCAATGACAGGGAGCTACCCCCGAATCAGAAGAACCATACTCGTTCACAGGAAGATGAACTGACACTACCTTGTGGGGCACAGATGGCAGGGCCGGGACCAGGGGAAGGCACTTGCACAGTCCTGAGAGTGGGTGCCTCCTTCAACTTTGAACCCCAGGCCTCTCGCTCACCTCGCTCTAGTCCTGGCCCTGGCAAATCATAGTAAAGTGAAAGCTCACCACCGTATTACAGGCCCGGCGATGATGAAAGGCTGCTCTGCTGAGGGACAGAACACTGATCGTGAACTTATCTTTTGAAGGAAGAGTTGGTTTATGAGGAAGACGGCAGGTGCCTGGGCTCATCTGCTCAGACTGGTAGGTACATCAGGATCGCAACCTAATCTGCGCTGTCTAGAGAGTGAAAATGCATGTCTGGTAAAATGCTCGTTGCAAGAGCCTTATAGAGTCTTATAGTGTCTTTGCACATTCGAGGTGATGCGTCCAGATCAACCGGTTGATTTGTGGTCATGAAGCTAATACGAACTGTTTTTGCTGCCTGTGGTCTTGCCACCTTAAAAGGTGAGCTGTCGCCTAGGGATGCAGTTCGAGGGAGTTGGGGCTGACGGACAAGATGGGGCCAGGTGGGAGGCCCAGGAGACAGACTAAGCCAGGCAAAGGAGAGGAGACACCAGCAAAGGTTAAGGTTTTGCAGAGAATAATTTGCTGTCCATCCCCAGCATCGGAACCACAAATACATAATGAACACGCACCGAGAGCAAAGCACTCTCAGCTACCAGTCAGCCTCCTCCCTGGGGACGACTCCCTCCACTCCCAACTGGACCAAGGTCAGTCTAGCAGAGCCACCAGCTGCTATTGGTTGGAGTCAGAGGCAACAAAGGGATAGAAACACCTCGAATTGGAAGCTGACCTCCCGGGGCCAACTTCATTTCCCTTGAACCCCTTCTGTGTCCCACCTTCAAAAACTGTTATCATTATTATTTACACTAGTAATAGTGGCAGTAGTGGGTTCTCTGAAAGCCTTCCTGGAGGGGCCTTCAGCCTCTCTTCTCCAGTCTCGGCAGAGTAGGTGCAGAAGCCAGCAAACGCTGTGGTATGTGCCTGGGTGGGAGAGAGAGTTGGTGTTATGATAATCAAGGGGAGGATGGAGGTTGCAACTTAGGAGTACGAAAGATGCTCAGTGTTATGTTCAGCGATGATTGCTAGAAATTGTAGAGTTGGTTTTTCGTCTGCCGCTAGGTCCACCTGGTACAAAATATTAACTGGATCTTTCTAGTCCTCAGTGTTACCTCTGACCATACGATCTCTGCCCCAAATCCTCTTGTGCTAACGGGAACACCTCTGCGTATTCGAGGGCCATACTGACGATGTAGAAGGCGCTCTAAAAATTCCAGGCATACAGAGTAGGAAAGCAAGACTCAAGGTAATTGAAAACGTCAAGGTGTCTGTCTGAGCATTCAACTCAGAATCTTTTGGAAGGACCACCAGAGGTAGCAAGGTGAAGGGAGAGGCAAAACCCACTAGAAGTAGCAAACAAGAAGCTTCCAGAAGTAACAAGTCCTATACTATGCAAGTCTCATAATTGGCTTTAGAGTTCAAATATTCATAATGGTTCCCAAGGAGAAAGCCCTGGCCACCCTTCACCATCGTTAGGCAAAAGCACAAACACTCCGCGTCCCTACAGGGCAAAATCTCTCCATGTGTTAGAATTCTGAGTCTGGGGCAGACAAGTGGGCATTCGTATATAAATGAAGGCCTGGAATGAATCTATTTTATTTCATGCAATGGCCCTGCAATTTGCTCAGGACCTTCAAAGCAAACAGTTTGAATGTTTTCCAAAGCAACTGGGCTTTTATTATTTAGTATTTTAAGTGGCTTCTCTCTAAATCAGGGGGAAGTGCCGGTTGCAAGGGAATTGGTGGGCCTGCCCTGTACTCAGAAGTCTGGAAATCAGAGCTGTACCAAGCGAGGGCCGAGGCCCGTCTTCTTGGCACTCAGTGTGGTCTTTCGGCTGTTCCGTCTACTGGAGTGTGGGCAGTTGAGCTAAGAACTTGTTTCTCATTGGTGAGCAATGTGACCTATCAAAATCAAGATCTGCTTGTCTCTGGAGGGTGGGGGGTTCTGCATCCTCTGGGAGGGTGACCAGTGAATCCGATGGGTGGGGTGGGGTAAAGGAGGAAGGTGTCTTTGTGAAGCACCTTTTCATTTGACTTCCTTTGTCCTCTTGGGAATGGTGGACAATTAACCTTCCGTAATTGGTTGGCCAGTTTTCTTTGTGCAATGCTTTGTCCGTTTTCCGCCCACCTCCCGGAAACCAGACACATGAAAATCAAATGGATCACTGCTCTTGCTTTGCTTAGACAATTGAACTGACGAGAATAGAGACTATAAACTTGGGGTTGGGAGAGGAGAGGTCGCCATGACTGCTGGGGGCTCCGTCGGCATCCTTACACTTTCCCGCGACATGGTTAACCGAAAGTCCGTCAAACAGCAGACCCTAAATGGCAAAAAGTAGCCCTTTTTTTATGTTATGGGCCATAGCAATGTGCGAGGCTGCCTTTTAGACTCCATGTGTATCCTTTTAGTCTATATGTTCTGTTTTGGACCAAAGTAAAACTTGCTTTAAACAAAACAAAAGCAACCACAAACCACAATCTGAACTGAACGGTGGTGGGCAAGTTACAGTTACTTTCTCTCCTCCTTGAGCCTTTGATGATGCAGGTTCCTTCAGCTAAGTACCTCCTGTAATGAATACTCTATGCAAATGAAGTGACAGTTCTTAGAATGCAGCATAAGCTGGGCATAGATCCTAGCTATTATTGTTGACAGACACTTGAAGGATCTCAAGGCGCTCGTGCGAGTCACCTCAGACAGATTGGAGCCAACAATGGCCACCTCGTTTGTTGGCCGAGCATGGTTCATCCAAAGCAACCCAGTCCTGACCCTTTCTAGCTAAGAGGTGGGGGGAAGGGTCTGCATGTTATTGAAACTCATCACCCTGATCTCCGTGTAGACAATCAAATTGAGAAAGGCATGAAATTCAGGACAGAGTCACATTCACAGTTTGCACGACAAAAGCCATCCAATCAACCCCATGCCGAAATAAGTGCACACCTGCAAACCTCTTGCGGGGAGACTTACACCGTGGTTGAAGAGGCATCAGACTCTTTCTGTTTCTCCACACAGGGCATCAAGGCCTCGCCAGGAAAGTGAATCATCAGCAATGGCTCCCTATGCCCCCGGCTTTGGCAGCCCCCGATCTGCTCTCCCACTGTGCCCCTCGGTGACAGGAGCCAGGGATGGAGCAGCAGGGTCATTGATTGAAAAGATGGCACCTGTGCCCTTGCATCTGAGAATTTCTTCTTGGCACACACCACCGGGGGAAATGAGGAGAAAATCAGAGTCGGTAATGGCAAGATTTTAGGTATGAAAACGTAAAACGTCTGAGGATGATTAAAGTGCCCGATGATTTCAGTTCTAGATAAAGTGGTCTCTCTCCTGCTGTCCGGAGTGCGAGTTAATGGACAAGAAATGGAGGTTCCTTTGTTATTTCCATGGTTTCTTTTTCAAACCCTTTCCCTTCCCCCTTCTCTACTCAAGCTTAGTAACTAGACCGTGCTTGCTCAACCCAGGGCTTAGGTACTGGCGCTATCGGTGGTGTCATAGTCTTTTGAAAACTGTGCGATGATTCTCCGAGCCAGTGGGTTAGTGGTCTTTAGCAGTTCGGCCGCTGAGGGGCGGGGCCTCGGAGTTGCCTTACTTCCTTTCTTCTGTAACAAGGCCTTGAAGTCATCGTTTCTGCCAGCATCTAGGCTGGCATTGCCGCTTGACCCTGCGGAGGCAGCCGACTCACTGACTGGTGAATCAGCTGTGTTCCTTATTGGTGACAGGGAGCTCGGTCTGCTGCCTCCGGCAAAGGCTTCGCTGGGCTCCTTCCAGCCGAGCAGCTTTCTCTTGGACCTAAAGAAGAGAAAGTTAGCTCTGAGCGAATCCGTGCAGCGGACGTTTGCTAATGCGTCCTATAACTTCATGAATGCCAGTGGCGCGATGTGCACAGTCACACCAGCTTTCTGTCTCTCTCTCTCCACTAAGTCCTCGGAGCCCCTCGTCCTGCCCCCTGTCCCTGCACTCCTTTCAGTACCTGCAGCTGGAGTCACCTGGTCTGTACCTGCAGGCTCAGTCATGCCCCGGTCCTGGGACCAAAGAATTTGTTTTTGACGAAAGAATTTAAGGAGTTGAGGTGAGCCGCTCGGTGACTCCGAATCAAGGCAGGAGCCGCTCCTGCTCTGACCCGATGCTCTAGCTGCAATAACTGGGCTCTTTCCAGTGTCCTCGTCACTGAGGCCCCGCTTCATGGCCCCGTCCAATAACTAGGTCCCCATCTAGACCCCGTCTGCCCAAGTTCCTGCTCTGACACTTGGCCTGGTGCCGAGTATCACTTCTTGATAAGATGATTTTTTGCTGCAAGGAATTCCATGAAGGGTTAAATGTCTCTGACTGTACACAAAGCTGTGAGAGAGCAGATGGAGCCACAATAGGCCTCACGGTTGCTAGGAGACGAGGGGCCTCTCACTGGGCACCTGGTCCTCCCTTCCCCACCCCTCCTCCACTCCACCCAAAGATGTCAGTGAGTCAGCCATGTGCGGCCCCGGACTGCCTTCACACGTGTGGCCATCTGAACTTGAGTCTCCACTTTCAATTTTAATGACTGCTTAGACGTAGCCGTTTGTCTTTTGGTCTAAAAAGGGCAGGCAATCACAATAAGAATTAAGGAAATTGTTTCAGACCTGTGTATCACGGTAAATAAATCTTCAGTTGTACGTGCAGCCACAAACACATCATCGTCTTCTTCCGCAATCCATTCGGCTGTTTTATCGCTGATCACACTTTTTTCTTCGGCGCCTGGTTCCACAGAACGCCCTAGGGAGAAGAACCAGAAGGAGTTACTTTGAGCACAACAGAGAGGGCAAAGCACGTCCTCATCTCTGTTTCATCTTTTAATGTCTCCATCTTGCGCAAGAACAAAGTAGTCAGAAGGTTAGTGACTTGGCCAAGGTGGACTGAACGCTGAGGATCAGCCCGGGGCCGTTTTGTCATGGCTGTTTCGTTACAGTGTTTTGCCTGAGCATTTTCTTGTTTTAAGTGTGTCGTTTTAAAAAATCAAGAAGCTGAAAATAAACTAAAACCATGTTCTAAAGTTACCTATGGCTTTGATTTGTTTATGCGTTTTAGCCACAATGACTTAATGTACGTCGGAAGTCCCAAGCAGCTTAAGGAAGAACGTAAGACTTTGACGTTTGGTGTTAGGGATTCAAAAAAGGATGAGAGACATGGATGAATGTTGAAGACATTATGCTGAGTGAAATAAGCCAGTCAGGAAAAGACAAATACTCTGTGAGTGCACTCATATGAAGTCCCCAGAGTAGTGAAACTCATAGACAGAAAGCAGAAGGGTGGGAACCAGGTCCGAGGGGTGGGCAAAGGGGAGTCAGTGTTTAGTGGGAACAGACTTCAGTTTTCCAAGGTGAAGAGAACTCTGGAGGTGGATGGTGGTGATGGCTGCTCAACTCTGTGACTGTCCCTAACACTTAAAAATCATTAAGATGCTGAATTTGACGTTATGTGTATTTTGCCACAATTAAAAGAAAAACAGGGAAGAAAGAAAAAGGATGAGAACCATTATCTACCGTGGTCTTACTGTTCCAGGAAGAGGTGGCCTCAAACCATTTAAGAAAGCGAGCTCCCTTTGGTGTCAGAAGTACTAAGAAAGGCCGCTGCTGGTAACGATGCCATTGCCCTGGAAGCCTGCAAGCCCGCCATGGCGCTTGCGCTCAGCCTGAGAAGGTATGCGTCTTGTGCGTGACACTAAGTTCAGTGTGCCTAGTGAAAGGCCCTGCACTGTGAGGTGGGGACAGGGATCCTGGGGCAGGAATGTGGGCCTGACTACGTAGAGGGCTTCTACGGGCCAAGGTGCGAAGACCGAATTGGAGTTCATTATCTCAGCACTGGAGGTTCCAGGGTAGATCGGCTCAGTGTGGGCCTTGGAGATCTGCCCCTGGGGCAGTCCCGATCCCAAGGGCAGTGAGGGTACCCCAAACCCTCCCAAGGTGCCCCTACTGACTCGATCATCCTGGGATCGGAATCGCAGGGCGCTGGATGCTGTCCCTGGCACTCCCTCCTCGCCCTCATCTGTCCTGGGATTGAAAGGCAAAGCTGGCAGACACATTACTAACCTGTAGGGCTGGCCTCTCTTTCACTGTCAGCCTGTGGTGTCGAAGTCATCCTCGTACCAGGTGATGGCACCTGCCCGCCAGTGCGCGGACCCTTGGCATCTTCCTCCAGGGTGACGATGGGGCCGAGAGGCAGCCTCGGTTCGGCCACGTAGGCCTCCATGGGAGCGGCGGCTGAGGTGAGAGGCAGGTGCAGCAGGCTGGGCTTTTTGGGGACAGGAGGTGGAATCTTGCCCTTCTTCTTCCTGGCTTCGTCCTGGCTCTGCAGGCTCATTCTTTCAGGCAGGGCTCTCGCCCTGGGGCCCTCGTCCTCCAGACCTCCCTGCAGACGTCCCTGCTGCGTTCCCGAGAAGAGAGCACCGGAAGAACTGGCAAAAGGGGGCAGAACTAGAGATGGGGGCGCCGTCGACTCGCCTGGACTCCGGGCCTCTGGGAAGCTGGAGGACTTCGGCTTCCACGCTGCCATGCACATGTCCGCAGGGAGTGGCCTCACGTGCTGACTCGAGCTCTTAGGGGTCATAGCCAATGTAGGTGCAGTTAGTGGGTCCTCCTCGGGGACAGATGGTGGCTTGTGGACCATGCCTGGAGGCTTCCGGGCCAGCAAGGGTTTCTCAGCCACGGGAGGTTTCATCCTTCTTTCCGGCAAGGCGAAGCCCTCTGCTCCCAGTTCCTCGGCATAGTCAGGGCTTTCCACATCATCCTCTGGCTCAGACTTACTGACTGACCGCAGGCGAACAGAACGTAGGTCAGACTGAGTAACCATGGGCATGACTGGCTGATTGGGGCTTGTTTTCTGAGCCAGCTTGGCCCCAAAATTTGTATCTGAGTGATGCCGGCTCACCTTGGTTTTGCTTCGGATGGAGATACTCATCCCAGACAGATCCAGGTGGGTCGAAGAGGTCAGTGGTAGGTCAAATGATAGTCGTGACTTGGAAATTTTCTCCATTGGTGATGTTGGAGGTAATGAGGACTTCCTCTCGGGTACCACTGGACGTACCCGGACACTGCCACTTGGAGGGGGCAAGTGGCCCAAGGTTAAGGACATGGAGACAGTGGGTGTTGGTGTCTCCGACTGGCTGGAGTAGCCACTGGAGGGTGACATCAGCCCGGTGAGCCGCCCCGGGGAGGGCACCTCCCTGGCCTCTACCTCGATGGACAGCTGGGAAGGCGTGGTGGCTCTGGAGGTGGAAGGGGAGGCAAGAGACTCTGAGCTGCCCTGAACTTGGGCACACTCAATGACTGTGGTGCCAGTGGCAGTGCTAGAGCTGGACAAGGATTGGTAGGTGTCACCAGACTTCCAGTCAGTAAGATACCAGTGGTGAGAGAATTGTGTACCTTCTGGATCTTTGAAGGTTGGCACAGCTGGGTGACCCTGGGGTGAGCGATGTCCTTGGTGTTCCAAAGACAGGCAGAGGCTCCGGGGCCTCTGGTCCTTGGGTAGTGGTGACCCACCTTCTGGGAGGACGCCCGGTTCATCTTTGAGCAGCGAGACACTGCGCGTTGGCGGGGAAGGCTTCTTTTTGGCCTTCCTGAGCGAGATGCTCCTGGATCTCTGCCTTCTGTGCTGCGCCTCCCACTGGGCACTAAGGGACGCACTGTCGTGAGCACTGTTACTGCCCTCAGAACTTGCGCTGGCATAAGGCAGGGCGCAGGCTTCGCTGGCCTTCTGCTCCTCGCCGTAGTCCACATCTGTGGTGCCTGCGTCTGTGGGCACAGACAGTGACCGCTCTCGGAACCTGCCGGTCCCGCCGGGGCCCGTCTCCAGCCTGGAGGCAGCAGCAGTCAGAAAGCCAGTCTTGAAGGGTCGCTCTGATGCTCGCCTTCGTTGCGTAGGGTGCTCAGAGTAGCCAGCTGGCCCACTGCATCCTGCTGGGTTATCACGAGTGACAAAGAGGGTAGTGGCTTCCTTAGGAACCAGTGGTGGCAGTGTGTGCGCAGAGACCCACGAATTCCCAGAGGAAGGATTTTTTCCATTTTCATTGACTTGGTCACTCTGACTGGTGGCACTTGGAGTCATGTAGGTAAAAGCGTCTCCCTTCCAGGAAGCAGAGAAAGTTGATTCGGTCGGTCCGTTGCAAGAACCGGGGACGCTATACACCATTCCCATGCTCTCCATGCCAGGAGGCTGGGGGCCAGGACACACCTGCACAGGTTTGCCGGGATCACTAGAAGGGCCTCTCAGGACTGGTGAGGTGAGATTTGGGAGCCGAGCTTCCTGACCGACCGCTACTCTTCCATAAACACCTTCTGGGACGGAATGACTGGGCCTGATGTCTGAGCTGGCAGAGCGGGCCACCCTGTCGGTGGGGCTGTCGCTGTGACCTGGAGGAGGGAAATGGAGAGCATTAGTGGTGCGGCCAGGGGTTCCCCAGCAGCTCCCAAGACGGCAGCACCTCATTTTTGCCAAGAAGTATTTGCCAACAGCTTGCTCAGAATTCCTTGGTTCTTCCTTTGTGTAGATGAAGATGCAGGGCAAGTTGGGTCCTTGCCCATCACCACGCGGTGAGTCACACGGTGCCCTGGAAATGTCCAGATGGCTGTCAAAGACTTTCCAGCTTTGATTATTCCTTTTCAAGTGAGGAGGCAGGTGGGTTTCATTCCATGCTCATGAAACCATCACAGACCTCAGCATTCACCTCTCCTGAGATGAGAGTAGAGGCTTTGAACTGATAAAGGACAGCACTCTGTGACTTGCCGCTCCAGCAAAGAATCTGGAGTATGTCAGAGCTGGAAAGCCCAGAGTGTGGGTGCATTTTTGGCACCTGTCACTTTTCAGCTTTGAAACATGAGAGACTTAAGATAACCTATGCATGTGAAGGAACGTTTCAGATGTTCGAAATCCCCAGAGACCTCTCTTACGCACAACAATTATTACTATGGTATCATCGTCATTATTATTGCTCCTCCTGCCCCTATGGTGATTTAGAAGAACAGCCACCATCTGTTGAACACGTACTATGTACCAGGCACATAGTATGCAAATAACATACAATAACTTTAATCCTCACGAGAACTCTACCAGGTCGGTGTCATTGTCCCCCACTTACAGATAAAGAAACCGAAGCTCACAGAGGTCATGTAATCTGGCCAAAGCCTCATGGTTAGTAAGCGCACGGGCCAGGATTCGCATCCACACCTGTCTGGTCTGTGTGTTTGAACAGCATCCACTAAATAGCAGCGATCGTTGTGCTAAAGTTGGCGTATCTGGTGACATATTTTTGCTTGCTCCCCTTGACCAAACGCCCATGGTTGCCCTTAATTACCACATTGGCTTTCACAGGCATCCAACACTCCACCCACCCCCGGCAAAAACCAACCAACCAAACAAAAAACAATTATTTCTGGGTGGCGGGATTGGTGGGAATGAGCAAGGGGAAGGGTCTGGGGGATCAGCTGTGGTGGGGTCACCTTGGTCTCGCTGGGAAAAGTTAGAGAATCCAATAATGGTCCTCCTCCGCCTCAGGGTGGACTTGGGGTTCACGGCTGTCTCTGTATTAAACAGTGAGTGTCGCAAACTTGCGTGCTTATCAAACTGCTGCCCTGTAGCCAAAATAAAGACACTTGGGTGCATCCTGGTTTCTGTTTTCAGTGCAGTGGAAATTGGCCCGAGGTGCAGAGAGGATGGCGATAGCGATGAGCATGAATAGCATCCAGGCAGGTGGCCCTTCTTCCGCATCCCTCCCAGCTTGGCTCCAGACACCCAGAGCCCCAAGGCGTGCATGCTGGCTTTCATAGGCCGCACCCAGGGTCACCTGTGAGTCTCATGTGGACAAGAGCCATGGCTTTCGACCCTGCCTACATATGGGTAGCTTTTGAAACTTCAATACTAGAACTTTTACATCTTGGGGAGAAGAGCCCAACCAGAAGGTTTTTCTCAAACTCCCCGAGATATCGATTATTCAGAGGGAGAGCCTGCGGCGAGAACCACTGATGTAGAGAGACAGGTTGAGACTAGATGTTGCTTGATTGTAATCTTTTCTCAGAGAAAGTCTTTATGTGAGCCGGAGCACAATGTCCCCAGGGAGTTGCCCCAGCTCCCCCCACCATCCGGGAAGTCGCCTCACAGTCTGTCCTCTAGCCACCTGATCATATTTGTCAGGGTTCAGCCCTGCCTGGGGATACAGATCTATTTTCTGGAAGCACTGGGTCAGTTTCTGCTCCTCTGGGGCCGGGAGGTGACCTCTCCCATAAAAAAAAAAAAAAAACCTTCTCAGTCCCCTGGCTCCATATGACCCCCCACCCCAAGGGACTCCATGGGCAAACCTCA